GAGGGAGGGAGGAAGGAAGAGGGAGGGAGGGAGGGATCTCAGGTAATTGCCTCTCCGATCCTGCAAGATTCGGCGCCCTGGCTGACCCCCGTTTGTGAAGGGGAACTGGGACACACAAATAAATACACACAAATAAAAATATTCCCTATATTTTCCCATATTTTGAGGGTTTTTGTCTTCCCCCCACTTCCCATATTTCCCCATATTTTCTGGGAATCGCCGATTAATTGTGTCTGTGTGTTTTTTCTCCTCCTGAGTTTGCAATCGACCGTCGTCCCTTCAGCCCCGGCGGCCTCCGTGCTGCTGGCCGCCGGGGCCGCCTCCATGATCGCGCGGGGGAGCGGCCCGGCTCTCCGACGGTCGGATCTCTGCAGCCGATTCTTCCCCCTCCTCCTCCCCCTCCTCCTCCTCCTCCTCCCCCTCCTCCTTCCCCCCTCCTCCTCCCCCTCCTCCTCCTCCTCCTCCTCCTCCTCCTCCTCATAGGCCCTCGGCTGCCTGGCCCTCCCCCCGCACCCTCCGCGCTGAAGGGGGCACCTGCGGCCGCAGCGGCCGCCGCTGCGGCCTCGACTGCGACGGTGGTTTCGGCAGAGAAGGAGTATGGGAGGAGGAGGAGGAGGAGGAGGAGGAGGAGGAGGAGGAGGAGGAGGAGGAGGAGGAGGAGGAGGAGGAGGAGGAGGAGGAGGAGGAGGAGGAGGGGAGGAGGAGGAGGAGAGGGAGGAGGAGGGGGGAGGAAGGAGGAGGGGGAGGAGGATGGGAGGAAGGAGGAGGAGGAGGAGGAGGAGCGAAGAAGAAGAGGAGGAGGAGGAGGAAGGAAGAGGGGAGGAGGAGGAGGAGGAGGAGGAGGAGGACGAGGAGGAGGAGGAGGAGGAAAAGGAGGAGGAGGAGGAGGAGGGAACAACAGTCCAGGTCGAGGAACTCTCGCTTTTTCCAGGAGGCTTTCGTCGGGATGCTTCCCGCCGGCTGCGCCTCCCCGTGAGTGCTCTGGGGGCACGAGGAGGCGCCACGAGGAGGCCGGCAGAGGCCCGAACTGCGGCCCAAAGATCGAATCTCCGACGAATTGCTTTTACAGCAGGAGGCGCTTCCTGGATTACAACCCTCGGGAGCCCCTCTCGGGCCCCGGTGCCATCAAAAAGTCCATCTGGGACGAGCATCGAGTCCGAAAGATAGGGTCGGAAGATCGCGCTGCATCGCCAATGTATCGCAATTGCCTCGGCGATGCGTCGGCGACGTCGGCGATGCATCGGCGATATCCTCGTGGAGAAGATCTGGCTCAACATCGAGCCGCATCGACGATGCATCGGCGATGCGGCGCTATCCTCCGACTACAAATTCCCTGGCCTCATCCGGGAGGCCTTTATTTGTGTTCAACCACAAGACTATATTCGATTGCGACCCTCGGATGCTATTTTCTGGCCCCTGGGCTATCACCAAAAGACCCGGGACCAAAACCGCCCCAGGGAACCGGTCCCAGAACCCCGACGCTTATTTTCATGACAACGTGGACCCCCAAAGGTCTAGACCAATCCCCCGGGACCGGCGTTGCATTGTTTGTCCTTGCTTGACGGTCCCGAGTCCTCGTAAGGGCCCGCAGAGGCAGAACATATGGACGATGAAAAAACGAGTCTTACAAGAGATGGCATAGCGCCCTTACGCGGTGGCTTGTGCGGGCAGCCATCGCGGCACGCCACCTTGGAAGCGAGAGCTCTGACGCGCGACCTTACGCGGCCAGCTTACGCACCAATGGCGGCGCAGACGACCCCGTGTTCTTCTGTCGCTCAGACGAAGACCTCCCGTCGCAGTTCTCTGTATGGTCCTCTATGGTCGAGACATCTGAAGCCTTGAACTTGGGCGCCCGAGTGATCCTGGGTAACTCGGGTCCGGGGTAACTCGGGTTTGGATTCCCGAAAAAACGAACCCGAGTTAGCCCTGACCCGAGTTACCCCTGATGATTTTGGGGCTTATCCGGGGTAACTCGGGTCCGGGGTAACTCGGGTTTGGATTCCCGAAAAAACGAACCCGAGTTAGCCCTGACCCGAGTTACCCCTGATGATTCTGGGGCTCTGGACGCCCGAGTTATCCGGGGTAACTCGGGTCCGGGGTAAATCGGGCTCGGAATCCCGAAAAACAAACCCGAGTTAGCCCTGACCCGAGTTACCCCTGATGATTCTGGGGCTCTGGACGCCCGAGTTGTCCGGGGTAACTCGGGTCCGGGGTAAATCGGGCTCGGAATCCCGAAAAACAAACCCGAGTTAGCCCTGACCCGAGTTACCCCTGATGATTCGGGGCTCTGATGAACTGGAAAGATCACGTAGCTGATTTTCCCGGCGCCTCCCGGCGCCGGGAGGCGCCCATGCATCGAGGAATGGGCCCCTCGGTGAAGCCGAAATCAGCTGCATGCAGCAAATTTCGTAACCCCCCCTTTCCCAATCCCCCGCTTTCGCCCGGCCCGACTCTATGGTCGAGACATCTGAAGCCTTGAACTGGAAAGATCAGATCGCCAGAAGGTCCCCGCGACGAAGGCGCAGGGCTCGTGCGTGCCACGAGGGCGCCCGCCCGCACACCCCCCGCCCGCCGCCCGAGGTCTGGGCGTGGCGCGCACCTCCTCCTCCTCCTCCTCCTCCTCCTCCTCTCCTCCTCCTCTCCTCCTCCTCCTCCCTCCTCTTCCTCCTCCTCCTCCTCCTCTCCTCCTCCTCCTCCTCCTCCTCCTCCTCCTCCTCCTCCTCCTCCTCCTCCTCCTCCTCCTCCTCCTCCTCCTCCTCCTCCTCCTCCTCCTCCTCCTCCTCCTCCTCCTCTTCACGCCGGGCGTCTCCGCCAGGCCCGCGGCGAGAATGACGTCTCGGGGGCTGCTCCAAGGTGCCCCCTCACAACCTGAGCTCAGGACTGGTGTCTACGCCTCCCGACCCCCCACGTCATGATGTTCTCGCGACGTGGATCCCCATCGATGCTCGGGCCCTCTCTCGGGGACCGGCTTTTCATCCCGAGTCGCTTTTGGACGCGTCGGGCTACAAGGTGCCCCCTGGGCCCAGGTGCCCAGCTTTTCCCTCAGTGTTGGAGCCCCAGGGCTCTCGGGGCCTCGGGCGGGGTGCGCTGGATGCCGTGGGGGGCCCTCCTTCGAAATCCTAGGGGCACTCTGGGCCCGGGGCAATTATGGCAGCACCAAAAGGTCGTGCTGCGACCAGCTCAGGATGCGTTCCAAGAGCCCGGGAGTATCCAGGCGGCTGTGTCTCTGGAGACTCAGGCAAAATTTACCTGCACGTCATTCCGCCCCGGAGGAGGAGGAGGAGGAGGAGGAGCAGGAGCAGGAGCACTCCTGGCGCCAGAGCCAGACAATGGCCAGGCCGAGAAGGCGTGCAAGCGAGTCCCGCCTTGCGTCAAGTCTAGGCTTCCTATCGGGCCTGAGGTCCGAAGTTGCGAAAGCAGCATTGACAAAATATCACGCCCATAGCGCTAGACCCCAAGTCTCTGCCTCATTTTTCGAGCCCGATCGATCTGTGAGGTTCCCAGGGCCTGAAACAAGGCGAGAACGCCCGGCTCGAAAAAATCGAGACGCCAGAGTCTCAGGGTAGCCACAAAAGGCGTGCAAGCGAGCCCCACCCTGCGCGAATCCCAGGTTTCCTATCGGGCCTCGCCGCGCCCGCCCGGCCCAAAGCGAGCACGCACGTTGGAGTCTCAAGAGGAACGGCTGCAGCCCTTGTTTCGGGAGCCCGTGCGGGAACACTGGGACATCTGAGGAGTCCTGGCGATCTCAAGAGACTTGGAAAGGCAGAGCGAGGGGGCCGAACAGACTTACACCATCCCTGGGTGCGCGGGTGAAGTGGGATTCCGTTGCCTAGCTTCTGCTTGTTTGATGTTGACTGCTGGTTCTTTGTTACTTGCTGTCGTCAGCCCCCCCGCCGCGACCCACCTGCGACCCACTCGCGACGCGGCCCGTGACCCACCACACGACCCACCCGCGACCCACCCGCGATCCAACCCGCGCTCGCCCCCTCACTCTGATCTGCAAGTGCAGGGTGATATATCAGAGTAAGAGGGCCGACGGTCATTCACTGTCCATGGGTGTGTGTGGCTGAATTGGGCATCCGCGGTGCGGAAAGTTGATGCTGCTGTTGTCAACGTCGTCGTCGTCGTCGTTATTGTTGTTGTTGCTGCTGTTTTTGTTGTTTGTTTATGTTTTTGTTGTTAGGCATGGTGTTGTTGGTGTCGCCGGCGTTGTTGATGTTGCTGCACCTGTTGCAGTGATTGTTATTGGTTGTTGGTGCTGTTGTCATAAGGACTCTTGTTCTCGGCCGCGTTGTTGTTGCTGCTGATGTTGTTGCATATTTTTCATCATTATCCTCATCGTCAGCATCAGCATCAGCATCACCAGTATCATCAGCACAAGCAATATCAGTATCGTTGTCGTCATCAGCATCATCCTCATCATCATCATCACCATCATCAACAACATTATCATAACCAATATCAGCATCAACATCATGATCATCCATAACATCATCATTCTCCTCCTCCTCCTCCTCATCATCATCATCAGCAACATAGTCATCATCATGATCATCATCCTCATCAATATTAGACTTATTAATATTATCATCGCTCTGTGAGGACGGAAAGGCAGGATACGACATACGCAAGTTTCGTATCATTCACTGTTCTTCCGTAGGCTGCTTGGGCCAAGCCTCAGGTCTGAGGGCTAGCAACGCCGAGTCCACGCTCCCCACGCGTGGGAGGCGAGGCGGATAGATGTCAGGTCAGATTCGAGACTGCGACGCCAAAAACGAGAGGTTGGTCTGCTTCGGGAGTGGCAAAGAGGGGGGTGTCCAAGAGGGGGGGGTGCAAATCATGACCGGCGGCATGTGCGCGGCCCAGCGGGGGGGCCAGAGACGTAATGAAATAAGAAGAGGCGCCATGAAATCTGGGAAAAATCGTGGCCCCCGCCATGATATCCACCCCCCCCTAGTCATCACCCCCCTCTTTTCCGCCCCCGGCTGCTGCAGCATTTCCTCGCAGTGGCGCCTGGCGATGGAGCAGCCCGTGGCCGGAGCTCCACGGGCCGCGGGTGGGCCAGCATGTCCAGCAGACGCAGGCGGTCCGCAGACGGAGGGGCGTGTGGGAGGCGAGGCGGATAGATGTCAGATCAGATTCGAGACCGCGAGGCCAAACACGAGAGGCTGGTCTGCTGCAGCACTTCCTCGCAGTGGCGCCTGGCGATGGCGCAGCCCGTGGCGATGGAGCTCCACGGGCCGTGGGCGGACCGGCATGTCCGGCAGACACAGGCGGTCCGCAAAACCGGAGGGGCGGCGCCCCCCACGGAGCACACCGACGCAGCCACGCCGATGGAGCAGCAAGCTCGCACAATGGAGCAGATGGCAGCTACAACTCTGGAGGAGGAGGAGGAGGAGGAGGAGGAGGAGGAGGAGGAGGAGGAGGGGGAGGAGGGGAGGAGGAGGAGGGGGAGGAGGGGGAGGAGGAGGAGGGAGGAGGAGGAGGAGGAGGAGGAGGAGGAGGAGGAGGAGGAATATATGGAGGAGCAAGAGGAGGTGGATGAGGCGAAATCGGCAACATGATAAAGCACGCACAACTCGCCATCGCTGGGACGTCGATGTTTTGTGTTTTTTTTCGGTTTCGTGCGTGTTTGTTTCGCCAATTGGTCAAGGATGCTCCTCGATGGTTCTCGCCGAGAAAAAAAGCATACGTCCGAGCGATGCCAGGATAATGGAGCAAATGGCAACTACAACTCAGGAGCAGCAAGGCCAAACACAACAACAGCATCCGCAGCTCGCATAATGGAGCAAATGGCAACTACAACTCAGGAGCATCAGGGCCAAACTAGGGGGAAAACAGACCCACCTCGCTTTTGACCACCCTCGCTTCCAAGGGATACCAAACGATGCCAAACTGCAGCCTGTACTGGTCGGGCCACTTGACGAGGAGGCGCGTGGTATGGCTTGGTTTTGCCTGGAAGCGAAAGCGGGGTAGGTAATGCACGCTCTGACAAACACAACAACAGCATCAGCAGCAGAATCAGCAGCTCATGGGCCCGTTGGCGCAACTATCCCTCCCCCCCCAAGATTGGCGCTGGGAGGGCGGCGGCCGGCAGGTGCACCTCAGACCCCACAAGGGGAAGAGGAGTACTTGAAACACATTCCCGACCACACTCAAAAGCAGTTGACTCATGTCATGCAGGATCTTGGGAAATCGATGGCCAAGATAACTCGCACGCGACTCACCATCGAGAAGCTGAGCAACGACGTGAAGGTGCTGAATGACAAAGAGAACCGACGATACCCTCCGGGAAGTCGGGCCTTCAAGACCAGTGAACTGAGACCGAGTTGGACACAACGCTAAAGGGACGTGTGGATCAAGATTCGTCTCTTCCCATTGTGCTACCACATGGCACCGCGAAAAGGGAGGCGATGATAATCCGCCGACCCTGTCGGCGTGTGTGAGGGGCTTCTCCGTTCGACTCGTCGTCTCCGTCGTCTCCGTTCTCCCCCTCCCAGGGCTCTCCTCCTCAAGCGCGCCATCCAAGGCGAAATTAAACGACGTCGTAGTGGAGTCGAAGGGAAGCCCCTTCCCCTTGATCCCTTCCCCGCAGGGGATGGGGGGGGGAGGGGGGGGGGGGCCAGGGCAGATACGACGCCCGCCGGGGCGCACTTTCCTCGAGCGGGCCCGCACGGGATGCACTTCCTCCTTCTCCTGGTCCTCCTCCTCCTCCTCCTCCTTTTCCTCCTCCTCCTCCTCCTCTTCCTCCTCCTCCTCCTCCTCCTCCTCCTCCTCCTCCTCCTCCTCCTCCCGCAGAGGCGTCCCGGGAGCGGGCCCCGAGTCAAAATACCACCCCCCTAGGGCGCATTTTTCTCGAGCGGGCACGCCCGATGCACTTCTTCCTCTTCCGGGAGCACGTCCCAAGTCAGAATATCACACTCCCGGGGCGCACTTTCTTCGAGCGGGCACACAAAGGATGCACTTTCTCCTCCTCCTCCTCCTCTTCCTCCTCCTCCTCCTCCTTCTCCTCCTCCTCCTCCTCCTCCTCATCCTCCGCTTCCTCCCCCCACTCCTAACCCTTTCGATCAGGGTCGGCGGCACTGGCCGTCAGGCCTTTCCAATAATCCACCATGGAACTACATTGTTCTGCGAACAAGTGCAACTCGAAGCCAAAGAAGAGCTCCCGGATGTGCTAAAAGTGGCTGTCAGCAAGGATACGTTCATCCAGGAGGGCACGAAGATCATGCAGAGCGTGACGGACGACAGAGGAGCGTCCCTCTGCCTTGACTCCACTCGCTCCAAACTCTTCGACCCGAAGTTCGTGGAAACTAAGCTCGAATGCATGTGGCACCAGATGGTCCAGAAACAGGCGAGGAAGGAGGAGCAGAGAAAAAAAGGAGTTGGAGAAACAGAAGAAGAACCGAACGGAAGATGAGGTTCTCGGAAGCAAGCCAGAAAACATGCTTGACGCCATGATTTCCAACGAGTTGGAGAAGAAGCTTGAAGAGAGGGGACTTGGCGGCATCGATGTGGATAACTCCGACAAGAAAGAAAAAGTGGTAATAGCGCAAGTAGTAGACGCAGCCTCAAAAATGGAGGGGCCCCCGAGGGGGCTCGAGGGCAGAATGACGATGGGAAAGGCAAAGGCAAGGGCAAGGAGCACCCAAGAAAAGGAAAAGGCAAGGAGAAAGGCAGCGACAACGGCAAAGGAGCTGGAGAGAGCAAGGATGGGAAAGGTAAGTCAGCTGGAGACACGAAAGGCAAGGGTGGCCAGAAAAACGCTTGGTAGCCCAAGGAGGCAGGAAAGGAGGCAGCAAATGAGACAACTATGGAGCAGAACGTACAGGGAAATGTACAAAAGGTAAATGCAAGAAAGCTGACAAGGCAGGTTGTTGGAATACCACATGGTAGGAACGTCCGTGGAAGAATGGCTATCGCTAGTGACGTTTCGCCGGCGAGAAAACACAGTTCTTGCATTCGACGCTTCGGACAGCAATGTGCACATACCAACGGACATCCCATGGCCAGCAGTTTGGCTTCTCAACACGTTTCACACCAAGTACGTTTTTGACACGAGAAAGCTCCCGAAATTAGATCAGGTGCGAAAGTATGCGAATGATTTCATCAATCGCTTCCGCTGGAGATTCCCTTTGGGGAACCAGTCTCATCCAGACAGGCTGGCATACAGATTACGGGGCTGGTGGACACTGACAGGCACAGCAAACTTGCCAGCTGAGGTTGAAGTTTGGCTGAGCCAAATGAAACACAATATCATGACTTCTGGTGCTTCGGTCATTCAGAGACTTCGGCATAAGAGGCGCGGAAACGTTTATCCGTTGATTCGGTTGGCACTTGCGTGGCTGGAGAGCTCAGACTGTGCACCCATACAGAACGACAAGGAAGCAGGCAATCCTTGTCCGGCGAAGCGATAACAAACACCCAGATCGATGAAACGATTTTGAACGGACCTCAGTACCAAAAGGTTTCAACCGACCCAATCAATTTTGACAGTGTGGCGCGTTCTTATGTGAAACTTGCACAAGACATAGAGAAGTATGAAGAATTCCCCATCCCTTCGGATATCCGCCGATCTGGCGTGTGAGTTTCTGAGAGCGTGGGCTTGAGCTCGCTCAAGCTTCGCTCTGCGGGGGGGGACCTCATTTCCGACCTCATTCCGACCTAATTCAGTGCTTTGGGGGGGGGACCTCATTTCCGACCTAATTCAGTGCTTCGCCCCCCCCCCCCCTCCCAGAGCGGAACCCCCCCCCCCTCCCGCTTCCTGCAGCCCAGCCCCCCCCCCTCCCCCCTGCAGAGCGGACCTCGCCCCTGTAGCCCCACCGCCCCACTGCAGAGCGAACCCCCCTTCCCCCTGCACCATCCCCCCCTGCAGAGCACCCCCCCCCCCTGCAGAGCGGACCTCTTCCCTGCAGCCCCCCCCCCTCCCCCCTCTGCAGAGCGTATCCCCCTCTCCTCCCCTGCTCCCCCCACCCCCTGCAGAGCAGACTCCGCCCTCCTGCAGTTCCTCCTCCTCCAGAGCGGACCCCCTCCCCTGCAGCCTGACCGCCCCCCCCCTCCCTCAGCCCAGCCCCCCCGCCGCTGCAGAGCGGACACCGCTCTGTGCACACCCTACCCCTGCAGAGCGGACGCTCCCCCCTCCCCCCCCCCCCCACCCCCCTGCAGAGCGGACCCCGCCCCTGTAGCCCCCCCGCCCCACTGCAGAGCGACCCCCCCGTCCCTCTGCACCCCCCCCCCTGCAGAGCACCCCCCTCCTTGCAGAGCGGACCTCCTCCCTGCAGCCCCCCCCCCCCCTGCAGAGGGGATCCCCCCCTCCTCCCCTGCTCCCCCCCCCTCTGCAGAGCAGACCCGCCCTCCTGCAGCCCCCCTCCTCCCAGAGCGGACCCCCCGCCCCCTGCAGAGCGGACCGCCCCCCCTCCCTGCAGCCCAGCCCCCCCGCTGCAGAGCGGACCCCGCTCCGTGCAGCCCCCCCCCCCTGCAGAGCGGACGCCCCCCCCCTCCCCTGCCCCCCCCCCCCTGCAGAGCAGACTTCCTCTCCTGCAGCCCCCCCCTCCTTCAGAGCGGACCACCCCTCTCCCCTGCAGTCCCTCCCTCTGCCGAGCGGACTCCCCCTGCAGAGCAGACCCCCTCCCCTGCCCTCTCCCCTGCAGCATCATCCTGATCATCATCTTGCGGAGCGCCCCGGATCGGCGGCACTGGCCGGAGGCCACTACAATCACCCGATCCCTCAAAGCTCCGAGGCACACTTACGAACCACACCTTCTCAAAACTTGCAAGACGCACAAGGCGCCAGAGCCGATTTCACTTCGGAACGTGCACACACTAGGCAAGTATGCCTTCGCAGGGCTGTCGCATTGGCTCGGCAGGAGGCTTCGCGAGGTCATCAAGCAGTATCCCCATGTGGTGCGGGACTCCGCCAACGCAGCTAGGAAACTAATGCGTGCGAAACTCGATCCGAGAGACCTGTTTTGCACTATGGATGTGAAAGGGTCTTGCATGTCAGGGACAACGGAAAAGCTCGTGAATGACATCCTGCACTTCTTCTCTGGGAGGCTGCGCGGGCTCATTGAGCGCTCATTGTAAATACTGCTTGACAGTCAATTCATTATGGCGTCCACGTTGCCAGACTGGTGCTTCGAAGTAGTGCTCAGGATGGGTATGGGCCTCCCTCATTCGGGAGACGTGGCCGACTTCGCATTGATTCGCCGAATGGAAATATGGGCTGTTACAAATCTCACGCATTTCAGCATTCGCCGGCACTTGAGATGCAAGGTCGACATTCTGCGGCGAGCTCATGGCCAACTCATGTTTTTTTCACTTAAAAGTTGCACTTCTTTCGAACCAGACTGTGGAATGGCTGGAGTTAGCAGTAGTGAGGGTCGCGGGTACAGTTGCGACGAAACCTCGTTTCAAGCACACGTCCTTTGTTGTTCCCCTTGTCCCCAGTAGCGCCCACCCACCGTCCGTGCACAGGGCGCGGCCACGGGCAAGGCTGGGGGCACTGCCGACATTGTGCTCGAATCCAAGGTTTCTTCAAAGAAGCGCAGTGCGAGTTGAGAGAGCGGTAATCCGAATCTTTTCTGCTCAGTATGTGGATCGTGACCTCCGCCCCCCCCCGCCGAAGACACGGACAGGGGCGCTCGGGGATCAAATTCGAACACGCTGTGGCTGAAGTTGTGGTGTTCCCCAGGGCTTCAGCAAAGCCTACGAAATGCATTATGACATTTTCTCAGGCATGAGGGGTACAGGGCGGTGGTACTCAGGGCCATGAGGTGCGTGCCAAACGTACGTATCACTAATTACAGGGGCCTGCCAAACATGCATAACTTGTTGGCGAGGCTGGCACATAGACCACATTAGGCGGCAATAGGGGTGGTAGGCGGGATGAACATCATTATCACCTTTCCGCGAGGACGGAGAAGCACGATACGAAACAAGCAGGTGTCGTATCTTTCACTGCTCTTCCGTAGGCTGTTTGGGCCAAGCCTCAGAGCTGAGGACAAGCAAAGCCGAGCCCACGCTGCCAACGCGTGGGAGGCAAGACGGCCAGATATCATATAATATTTGAAACTGCGAGGCAAAAAACGAAGAGGGGCAGATGAGGAGTCCCAGCGATTTAAAGAGGCTTGGAGAGTCAGAGCGGGGGAGGCCAAGCGGTCTAAAAACCATCCCTGGGCGCGCGGGTGAAGTGGGATTACGTTGTCTAGCTTTTGCTTGTTTGATGTTTGTTGGTTAGTTGTTGTTTGCTGCCGTCGTCCCCCCCGCGACGCACCTGCGACCCATTCGCGACGCGGCCCGCGACCCACCACGCGACCCACCCGCGACTCACCCGCGACCCACCCGCGATCCAACCCGCGCTCGCCCCCTCACTCTGATCGGCAAGTGCGGGGTGATATATCAAAGTAAGAGGGCCGAAGGTCATTCACTGTCCCTGGATGTGTGGCTGAATTGGGCATCCGCGGTGCGGGTTGTCGATGCTGTTGTTGTCAACGTCGTCGTCGCCGTCGTCGTCGTAATCGTTGTCGTTGTCAGTGTAGTTGACGCTGTCGTTTTCGTTGTCGTTGTTGATGTTGTTGTGGTGTTGGTGCTGTTGCTGTTGTTAGACATGGTGCTGTTGGTGTGATCGCAAGCGTTGCTGTCGTTGCTGATGTTGCTGTTGTTCTAATGATTCGTGTTGGTTGGTGTTGCTGCTGTTATGAATGACATTGTTGTTGGTGGTGTTATTGTTGTTGTTTGTTGTGAATTGTTTGTTGTTTGTTGTCCCACCAACGAATCGGCCCGCGACCCACCCGCGACCCACCCGCCCACGGCCCAACGTACGACCCGCCCGCGGCCCACCCGCGACCAACCCGCAACCAACCCGCGACCCATCCGCGACCCACCCGCGACCAACCCGCGACCCACCACCGAACTACCCGCGAACCACCTGCGCGACCCACCGCGCGACCCACCCCGCGACCAACCCGCGACTCGGCCCGTGACCCACCCGCGACCCACCGCGCGACCCACCCGCAACCCACCCGCGACTCGGCCCGCGACCCGCCCGCGACCCACGCGCGACCCACCCGCGAACCACCCGCAATCCACCCGACCTTTCCTTCGACCCACCCGCGGCTCGCCTGCGACCCACGCGCGACCCACCCGCGGGGGGTGGGTTGCGGGCGTGACGCGGGTGGGTCGCGGGGAAATCGCGGGTGGGTCGCGGGTGGGTCGCGGGTGGGTCGCGCGTGGGTCGCGGGTGGGTCGCGCGTGGGTCGCGCGTGGGTC